TACGCAATCGAACTCTGCATACATACCGTTTCAAGCATCCTGACCTGATAAGAAACGACAACAAGAACGCCACTGCTGCCGGTTCGCTGCCAATCCTTCAGTGTCTCCAACCAACCAGTTGTGGAGTCTCGGACCCCAACCTGGAATGTGAGAGACACCTACTCTACCTAATGGGTCTGTGCATACTGGACCACATGATTATGATTATGATAATGGGGATGATTGTCTTCATTGCATACACATATTATCCTCCACTAGCATTCGTTTAGTTCAACTCTTCGAGAATAACATCATTATCTTACATACAAAGCTTTACTGCCTAGCAAGAAGTGAGAATCAAGGGCGAACAGTAATGCGTATAGGTTGGTGTATGTGAACTCCTTAAAACTAAACACCTCACACAAATCAAGCATATCGCACACATTGCATATTGCAGCAAAGGTGCCTGAACAGTTGAAGCCATACTGTTATATATAGTGTAAACGACGGTACAGTAGACAATACCTTCTGATAGATCGACTGAAATCGGTTGTCCTTCTGATTTCAAAGAGCGCTTCACGCAAAAATTCAGAGACGTGTACCGTGCACGCTCACGTGTTTGGGAATCATGAGTTTAGTTCATTTTGTTCACAGAGCCACCGGCGACGGGTGACATTTATGTATAGAGTCATCCTGAAAACTATTTTCTTCAAGGACACACTATCAGAAAAATGATTGGCAGGAAACGACAGTCAATCAAGAAGGTTGAAAATGATCCAGTCAGTCATTCATTTCGTATGTGCGTTCCCATATTTTCTATCTCCTATGAAAAATAAATATGTTTCTCGTAAGGTAAATAAATTCCTACCCGCTTCCAGCTATTTTCTAATGCACTATCTGTGAAGTCACTTCCCGTAGATGAATCGTTATCGCAAGATAGTTATTTGGGAATCCAGTATCGAGACGAACCTGTGGGATCAAAACTATTCGCCACAAAAGTGATCCATCTCTATCAGTGAACAAATTAGGCAAAAACCTATCAAAAGAGCCTGGTCTGCTCGGTGATCAAATGCGGTTGGATAATTAAGTAACTTAGTTGTACGGATGCGAACTTGTTTTCTCCAACAGGAATCAAATAAGGAAAACCGAAGTTGCATGGGAAAATCTTCGTTATTGCGTGATGACCTACCGGCTAACAATCACACTAATGAAGGGGAACATGACAGCAAAAATTGTTGTGCGCGTACGTTTCCCTGGTACGGTCTGAGATACCCACGTGCTATGTACTTCATTTAGCTGGTGTTTATGCATCGAAATTCATGGCCCGAATGATATAAATTAAATGGCATTGCTACATTTCAATATGAAACGACGCAACGTCTGAAAACCGAAAGCTTGTCGAACGCAAGAATTTGTTAACATCAACTCGGAATTAGAAGGAAAGAGTAAAAAGACAACCACTTTGGTACAGATGAGCATTGTCGGAGTGTTTTGAGATCGTACGAATTGGGCGCGCCCACAGGTTCATTGCATCGTAAATTCCCAGCAATAAATCGATTACAAGGAATGTTCATATTGGGATGGTCTATAAATCACTGAGAAACAAGTACTTTTAAGAGTGGGGCTAATACACAGGAAGTTCGCACTATATTCCCATCCATCGATTAGAGTAAATTGGAAACTTGAAGAAATTTGTTCTCAATATATCGCATATAAATATATACATATATATATTTCAATTATTCATAAGATCACTCAATTATCGATGCTTGGTTAAAAATAAACTAGGCAGGATGGGGAAAGCAGAGAGAAAACGCGTGAACTGCATACTATAAGAACGTTATTCGTCGATTATGAACAAAGCGTGTAGACAAATGGTCAGGAAATAAAAGGAGTGGAGCATGGAACAGATCGAAACAGGGAACTATGAGAGAGAATCATCTTGCGGTCATAATAAAAGAAACACTTGAAGTACGCCAGTTTGCTAGCATAATTCTGGTATCAAAATCGTAATGATCAGGGAATCTTCTTATCTAATTCTTTAATGTTGTTATTGCGTGCGGTGGAGAAACTTGTAACCACCGTGTTTAGGACTTGACTCCTTTACTGGCTTTCTGAGCACACTTTCACATGTGTTTTATTCATTTTCGATTGCCTTTCTAATTGTGCGCAAATATCGCATGTTACACATGCACACCGCGTTCCCACTCTTTTTCCTATCCATATTATATAACCTTATGGTTTGTTGTCCCTCGACCATTCTACACACACAAAGAAGCGATAAATTCAAAGCGAAGAAGTGAAAGTTTTCGAGCGGTGGAATAAAAATGCTCCTGTCGTTTTATTAACGTTTTTCATACTCAGCGATTGATTCTAATGCACACATATACAGACAGTTAAAAGATGCTTACTGATCGTTTGGGTGAATAGTAATTTCAATGGACAAAAGGGATCTATATAATGTAAGTGGTGACAGAGAGCAAATCCGAAGGACTTGACGCAGCTCTTCGCTACTCTGTGTTCTCTTACAATGTGTAAGGATGGCATATTCGGACTTGATGCAGCTCTGATTAAAAAACACTGTTTCGGCACCATACCAGCCTAATCTACTCCATGTGTGTAAATCTCACTCGATGCACAATGTAACTTGATCATCATCAGTCACCAAGATGTGCGTTGAAACGCTTGATAGAGCGCTCAACTGTTTTGGTGTTTGGTGATCTTTCTCACTCTTTTTTATTGAATCAAACTGTGCGTATGGGTAGGGGCTTATTTCCTTATTACAGATTTGTAGACTGAGGGTGATAAATTGCTTTAGCGCTCCGAGATAAGACAGATCAACTCTGTGTTTCCTTATGAATTACTATTATTATTTCGCCCAAACCTGATACTACTACTTGCCATTTTCCTCGAAAGAACCTATAAAACTTCGTCTGAGGTGCACACTCGGAGAAACTAATGCGAGCTCCAGACTGTCGTACACAACAAAGGAATGGAAGCGTGCAAGCTTTCGGCAGTTTCAGAGTTCAATGAGTTCCGCACTCAAATCGTCAATCCGGTTTCTTTGAATTAGTCCGGTCAACTCACGGTAAACAACAGAAAACAGATTTTTCAGACCGCATCAAACCGGACGTTACACAAAGCAATAAAAAAAACGCCTGTGCAACTTGTTCACGTAGACAAATAGACAAACATCCACATAATCAAAGCGATTGTGTGTGTAGAGGGACACCGTTCACATTGAGCATCATTCAAATCCATTGGGTGCTTTTCACCCAATGGATCTGCTTGTGTAAACGCATATGCATACACAACGAATAAGGAGCATAACTCAGACTATGCGGACCCGAACTACTTCAGTATGTCAACGATCGATGCTTATGCTATAGAAAACAGGCGGGGTATGGGCTACTGAAGCAATTTGCTGGATTTCGAGCTGTTACTGTTGTTTCACCTTTTATATGTGGTTCGGAATCATAACGATTAGATGCGGAGGGAGCATGTAAACCGATGGTTTTTCTGTAGTAAAAATGTATCCAGCCTGTTTATTGGTGCTTCAATAAATGCATTTTTGTGAGTCCCGAAGACTTTACTGTAACCCAAGCGGCAAGCACACTTTCCAGAGAATTCGATCACCAAATTGTTGCCCCAACAAAAATATCAGCTGGTGTTTTTTCATTTAGATTTAATAAGAGAATGTAATCGGGTTTTGTCGTTATAGAGTCCTATCACACTGGAAATTTATTGAAAAATTATAGAACATTGGTTGGTTCTGATTGAGATGCCCATAAGTTTTTGGCTTACCATCATGTAATTGGATCCGTAGAATGCCGGAGGTTGCATTGATCGAACCTTGAGAAAAGAGAAAGATGATTGATTTATGCTGGTGCTCAGAAAATGTTCTACCAAACATTGCACGCACATGTAAAAACGTACAACTTCACACGTGTATTGATTTCGTTTAACCGATAGCAATAGTATTAGCAGCAGCAATCTCGCATGGTAAACCAACGTGTAGCAGTCTAGCTTTTACTGTTTTCAAAGTATAAATAAATTAGAAAGTTGGATCGTGAGCGGTTCTGCTAGAGAGACAAGAATGTGATGAACTGTTGTTACTAACATCCGTCTATATATCCAACTGATCTACTAAGGAACAACAACAAAAGGCCCTGTTCTTTTCGCAAATTTTATTATTAACACTCAGTCTACCATAGGATCATTCGGTTCTAACTAAGGGGTAAGAATTACATGATATGCTCAATCAATTTCTTCACCACCACCCCTCCCCACTTTATTTTTAACACGCCCTTTTGTCTTGCACTCTGGTGCGGCAAGCGGAACACAATCCGGTTGACGAATGCTAGATTTAAGCAGCATGCGTCCCGCTTAGCACAAACTAGTCCAATCAGTTCGTTGCGATCAGGATCGAACCCCTCTCCTCAGTTGTGCTAACCGCATTGCACACACTCACAGCCGAGAGCTTCTCGTTGACGAACGCCTTCAATGCCGAAACTGAATGTACGAAAAAGTATCAGACGACGAGATAATGAATGTAGAGTTTGGCGGGAAATAGCTCATTTTATCGGTATCAGGTGAAGCAAATGCTGATGAGCGGGATTAGAGGGCAAGAGCACTGCAACCTACGCCTGTAAGCATGACAAAGATGACAAAGATTGAGAAAACGATGGCTTCGATCTACCGAAACTTCGTGTGCCAATAAAAAACCTTTCCATCATTCTGCTTTTGATGATCACTGTCTCTTCTACATTTATGTATGACTACTTTGTAATTTACTCAACAACGTTTGATAAATATTGCATTTGTCTAAAACTTTGTCTAAAATCTTCCACAATATAAATGGTGCCCGGTTATCATAATTGCGTTTATTTTTGCGAAAAGAAGTTTCGGCTGTATCGAGTCATCAAAACTGAATAGCATTCATAGAAAAAATGGATCGATGTCACAACTTAGGCAATTTTATACAGCCTTGCACACAGAGAACAAATTTGTGACTGTGGCTAGGTTGCGATTTCCATTTATGGTGGCCAGTGAACAGATTCTCGAGAAAACACGGATCTGAGCACCGGACAGTTCTGTTCAGTTAAAAAAATCAAACGAGTATTTGATAACACCGACTGATCCCTGTTGCATTTAAATATTCCCAAGTGCTATAGGAAAGCCCAAAAGTGAAAATATAATCGGATGTGGTTCAATTTCGTCTAACGTGAATCAAATCAAAAAGAACAGTCATACTGTTGTGTACTCCGGTTGTCCTTTTATTGATTACGCTTAATCATCCAGCATTGTCTCGTTTGAGCTGAGTGGCCCGATCACTTAACCGGATGCGGAACAAAAAACGTACACGTTGAACCCATCCCCGCGAAACCACTGTAATGGCTTTTCAAGATGGGATCTTGCCAAAATTACTGCCTCTCTTACAGATAAAGATAGTCTAGCAAATTTAACAAGACTCGTACAAGCATAAGACGATCTAATGGAAAAGTACTGGATGTGCAAACGGGAAATGCAGCATACAAAGTGAAAGCGGTCATGAATTTCCATGGAGCTTGTTTCACTCTCTCAGTTGTGGCTTCAAAAGGAACAGTACCTAAATGTGTGAACGAGGCTCAGTAAAGGCTACTACTGACCACGTTCGAGTGCGATTGAAAATGAATTCAATATGCATTTTAACCGTCCATACTTGTGTACGTTTCCATACTCGAGGGCAGTTTTAGGTCCACACAGCTTACAAAAAATTAACCGTAGTAAAACTGCAGTAAAATGTCTCTGAGATTAACTTTAAAAGAAAGGATGACCACGCAGTACTGCATGATTGGTGCCCGAAACGATTTCGCTGATTCTCAACATAGCGCTTGATGCATAAAGTTTATTTATAGCTTTGGTAACGTAATGGAGTAAACAAAAACACAATAAAACAAATAAATAAAATGAAGAGCGTTAAAAGGTAGACCATATCATTGTGACAAGGACAGGCTTTTACTGCTGACACGGTGAGGCTTCAAATGGTTGATTACAAATTGCATCAGCTAACCCAAACAACCTGTCGAATTGCTAAGTCCGATGTCAGGCGTAAGAAACAAACATAAGAAGCAGATCAAGACCCCACAGGGGGATTAGACCTGTTTTGAAAGTGGAAAAAAATCATCCACTTTGTTCTGCAAATAACCCTTACGTTTTTACGTTTAGTTGGCTGTAAGACTAGCTCCTACATGATGACAAGCTGCCTAAAAGGTAATCGTAAATCTCCTTGGGGATTCACATGAAGAGGATCATAAGTGGTACCCTGAACACCGTTCGACCATAATACTTTAGGCTGCAACTCTACTCTGTGCATGTCAGTGTAATATGTCAGGACTAGGGATCGTTTTGACAAACTACTTGTCAGTAGTTTGGTTTAGTGGTTTGCTCTGGAAGTTCTAGGCAATTGGATGAAATGACACAACGGGTGCTGGTCTTATTGGTGACCGGTCACATTTGCTACATCAAATGATGGACGTTAAACTTGTCTAGAGCTGAGGCTTCCCTGACGAACACCAACCAAACCCACTAGTAACAGAGCTGTTTGTTCGCGGCTGCAAAGTCAGTGATTCTGAGCCTTTCTTGTTCATAATTAGCCCCAAATTCGGTGACCATGTTCTTATTCGCGACCCCAGGACATGTCGACAGCACGCAGTTCTGCAGAGTACATAGTCTACATAGTACCGGTTTCACAATATATGAAATCAAGAACATCACTGCTGTTCGCTTATTTGCTACTCTAGTCTTCTTAAAACGTATTCCATGCGACTGTTTAGAGAAAAAATTTTCCACAGACAATAATTGTGACTTACGTCGTTCTTTGCTGTGTTTGGTGTTGCATCCTCTGGTTTGTTCCCACCACTCTGCTTATCCGTAAAGTTTCTGGGATCTGGATTTCGCACGGGGTGCATTTCACCTTCAGGTGGCGGACCATAGGCAGGTGGCATCCTGTAGTAGTGGTTCCATGGGCCCTGTGTCTCGGACAAAGTTCGAATGACCACATTTGACAATAGTTCGACCAGTTCTTTCTGTTTCTTTTGTTCCTCATTATTAGAGGTTTGTTTGTCCTTCATTGAAATACATATCCAATCGAGTAAACAGAACAATGATCGATTATTTCTTTCATGTTATTGAGAATACAACAATCTAAATACTGGTCGCGGTATTGCCAATTATACTAAACTTTAGAAGAAATTGAAGGTCAGTGAATGAAGAAATTGGCCACACGCACTGGTGTTGCGATTTATTTTAACTGTATTTGTGTGCATTTGATCCTTAATACAGGACAGTGCTAAGCACCTATCAAACGTAAAATGCTGGCTGTCTTAATTCAGTGCGACAGTAAAACCATTTTGGAATCAAGCCTAGGGGGTTCCAGTATATCCATTAAATGCATTCAGTTGTTCGTTAATACCTGATCTGGCAACACATCTCTTTTAGCATGCTACTGCATGATGAACTACCCCATAGCAGAGATTATGTATTATTGACCTACTGATGAAAGTCACTTTCACGAAATGCATCCAGTGATTGTCAAACCTTTGAATGCAATCCATTTCACTGCTAAATTTCCTCAGAAAGATTGGAGGGAATGTGCTAAGCCTCAAGGTTTCTCAGAGCTGTGTGTAAAACATTTACGTGACGTAATGGGTAAATCCTGATCCATTCATGCGACTATTGCTGCCGGCCGCGCATCTGTTTCTGTTCACGTCAAGTGCATGCATCCATAGTGACAGGTGATCTCAAAAACCAGTCAACAGCTCAGAGATACACTGAAAAAATGGTCAATTGAATGTGGAAAAATCTCAGTTACTATGGCACGCAATTTGCATTCATCCTGCCCAGACTGTAAGATCACTTTAGTTTTCAATTTTTTCCTTCGGTCTGTTCAGCAAACTTTAGTGAACCAGTAGAATAGCACAAAGAAGGCATTAAAAATCTTTCACTCACACATACCGCGGATTTGTCCTCGCTATTCTCCTGCTTATTATTATTACTCTTCTCGTTTTTAGACTCCTGTTGCTCACTTGGCTGTTTCTCCGCGCGACTTCCTGTGCGGAAAAAAGTGGAATTTCAAAGAAAAGAAAAGATAAAATCCTTCAGTCAGTTTGCATCACTGGATAAAGTGTAGTGTGTAATGCTTAGCAGTGTAGCGAATCTGACCAGTGATCTCCAGTGAATTTGCACAACGATAATAACGAAGACAACAAAAACAGCAAAACTCCAGTCCTCACATTTCAAATTGATTCAGATTCCCACGTAACGTGGTGAAAAGTAAGTTCACGAAGCCTTGTGCTTGATATCCACATAAAGAATCATTGAGGCATGCATAGCTTTGGGTCGACTGATATTCGTTTGATGTGTCACGTTGAAACAGATTTTCTATCTACACGAGGACTGATTGATGTTGGAAACAACTATTAGATGTACCATTCAGATGTGAGGGACATTGTTCGATTTGAATATTTTTTCTCTCAGGTTACCATAACCTGGATAACTATGTGCATGAGTGAAACTTGTACTAATACCTAAGTAAAACGATATGTTTCTAGCGGTTACTTGATGAATACTGTGTTACGTTCTCAATTTTAACTTGGATATGCTTTGTTTGATCAAATTTAAACTGCCAACTTCTAGCATCTGTCTGCCCTCATCAGTGGTTTCCAACGCAAAAAAATGGTATGCACAGAAGGAGAGAGAAAACCTTAATACCAAATTTGTAAAGAAAGACGAGAGCTTACTAAAAAACAATCAACTTGCTAGCGCGACAAAAAGCGTGATTGATACGTTGTTCTTAGTGTGCCTCGTCTATGCAATCCGTATAGATCAAACATAATCAGCCTACTTTTAAGTAGATTTTCGACCTTTTGGTAAAACACAGTGGTTTTCTTTCACTTCACATGCTTGTTCTTTCAATAATGATTATAGAACTCGATCAAAAAATAGCATTTCATAACTCCGTGTAGTACACCGACCAGTCTAACATCGTGCTCTCGATTTTACTGGGCGCCATTGAATAGGTATACAGCACAAGCGTAGAACAGGAATGAATTATTTGGTTGAGTGAAAAAATCTGATAGACCCTGGGAGTGGATATGAAAAACTCCATGGACAATATCGCAGTTAGGTTGAGAAAACGGAGCCTCACATTCGCTAAAATTTGATGTGAGCCATTGCAGGCTCACTTTGTCAACACAACTGATTGTCGCGCTACGAATATAACCGACTCTCACAGTTTCACATAAAAGTTTACCTGTGAGAATGACCAATAGTATTGGTCGCTATCCTCTAATACCATCTATTCATACAAGGAAATTAAACAATATTAAGTAAATCAATTAACTAAACAATATGGTATTTTCGTTGTTCAAAAATTCTCATTTCCTTTTGATTATGGCAACAGAACTGATTCCAATTTGTGGTTGAAGCTCAGTAAGAATACATTCGTTTTACCCGCATATGAAGGTGGAAGGCAAATATGTGGGGGAGGGGGCGAAACCTTGTGACCGTAATTGGTCCAGGGTGATCAAATTATGGTCCGATGGGATGGGATAAATTCTTCAACCACTGGACTTGGGCATGTGGGTTGTTTTAGGCTTCAAGGATCGAATTTAACGGAATTGATCTCCTACATGGGTGAAGAAACTGTAGCTCTTTGCAACGTGTGTCTAGAGCAATGTGGTTCGTGTGCCTGCGCATTTCCCATAAGCAGATAGTTTACCCCGCATTACCCCAAGTCTGTTTAGGTTACTCTCTTTTAGACGTTTTATTGTTTAAACTTCCCTTTTCATTGGTTGCTTCACTTGGTAGTTAGGAGACAGCAAGCAATAGGACATTTCTCTGTTCGGTTTTACTCAATGCATCGTACATCGTAGAGAATTTTAGTGGTCATGGTAACGGGAAACGTGAATTATTCCCTTATAGTCTGCATTCATAGGTTCAATAATGATTTTATGGCAGCCGAAAATGTAAAATAATGCCCCATGTTGAAACGCCCTCCTCCAACCCGGATCTTTAGCCAAAAGAAACCGCACACTGAGCCTGAACCTGCATTTTGTTGTAAGCTGGAGATGAAAATATACCACAATAGGTGATTCCTCCTCGTTCGTATTTCTCGGCAGTGCTGATTATTATTTTTTACGAGATGCGAAGCCTTTACACCGGGAATAAAAGCCTTGTCGCTGCGTCATATATAGTCCAAAACTAACACCTTCAGTAAATGGATTTTGTTTTAGGCATTCCATTCTTATGATCAGGCAACAAAATTGAACACAACGCAGTGAAGCGTGATATTGTCGCAAGATACGTGTTCATTTGACATCCTTTCATCTTTTTATTAAATTAACCTTAAAGTTCTTTTAAAAAACAATGAGGAACATATTACCATTCAATTGCATGAATGTTTGCTTATGATTGACAATAACCCAAGAAATTCTACTCGGTTTCTTCTCACAAGACAAGTAAGTAAGTAACCTGATTCCGGTACGTCTACATCCCCAGGTAGACCTGAGTCGGTTTATTGGTTCTGTTCGACTATTTTGAAATCCGAGTGACTCGAAGCCTGATTTCTATTAGCAAAGGGTTTCCATATAGACACTTGGGTTGGACCGAAATTTAATCTTACTGTGATGTCACAACCATCCACAATTGAAAAATATTTGTTTCTTTCCACAGCTACTTCACACTGTCCGTTCGGCTTTTGCCGTATTTCAAGGTGGAATGACGAAGTCTACTCGTCGGAATGTGTAGTCCTCTTTCGTGCCTCCCATGCGTACGTTAGTGATTACCCGTCGGTAACTCTCGACAGATATCATGATAAAACTGATTCATCTGTGGTCAAAACACTCTTAGTTTGGCTGCTAGTGATACCTCCGATACTTCTGACTGGTTTACATTTGATGCAAGACTTCTTTGGAACATTCAGGGGACATATCGGCTTGCATGCGAACTGGATGCCAGATACAATACTCCTATCACTTTGAATGATTAAATCTGATTCCTGAAACCATGTCACAAAATCAGGGGATGTTGAGAGCTAATTTGCAATTCCTCTTCCACCCTATTTCAATACCATTTAACAAACTGGCGGTCGTGTTCAAGTCACATCACCGCACTCGTAAACTTCTGAGGATCCCAAGAGTCTTTTGATTGACCAGTTGACCGCTTCTGTGACTGTGTATCTGATCACATATTACCGTGAACTAAAGCATTGCTATTTTCATTTGATTTTGATTAATGCGTTAATTTTATAAAAACCAAACAGAGTGTCAGCTCGTCGCCTGTTTTGGGGTTTTTCGGGTAGGTTTTTCTGATAGACTTTGACCCATTTGTCTCCAAACAGAAGGTACAGTTACCAAGAATTCTGTTGATCGTTTCTACCAACCCTGCTCAGGTTGTATCTTGCCCTACTGCGACTAGATTGTCTATGACCTTGTGTGACAGTTGCCAAGAGGTGAGCGGTTTCTATCGTTTACTGCAGCCGGGCAATATACGTGTTCGATAACGATAAACGTATTCAGGTTTAGCGCTCGTGAAAGATTGCAAAGTTCAAAAATAAGCAAACGGCACATAGTTACGGAACGCAAAGCAAAAACAATCGCATCCAATCGCCTAATTTTCAACTGCTCGAATCGTCCGGTTTTCAAATGGTTCACATGTTTCCATAATAACATGTTGTTAAAATAAGGGTGTACCTGATCTCGATTCGGTCAGCAAATCACACCAACTTTGTTCAACTGTTTTGCTGCTGATCAAGTTGATATCTCTGGAATCGATCTGTTTGTGTGATTCAACCAGTCCTGTCAGAGTTTCTCGCACAGTTTTCAGTCTCTCGTGTAGTGCTGTCAATTTCGGCTCCGATTTCTGCTCTTTTGTTGACTTTTCCTGCCTTGAAAGAGGAACACGTAGGGGGTGAGTGATTTCGATGGTGATAACAATTACTGAAAATTTGGTTCACTTCAGGAGGAAATCTTCCTAACGTAAGTGCCTTTAGAAAACTAGCTTTGATGGTGTTCAACATTTTTCCAACCCTAAACGACAAAAATGTGTAATGAATGGCAAACGGCTCATATTT